TGGGATATACTCAAAATTTTTGTCTTCACCGGTTTTTAATAACTTAAATGTTTCGTTCTTGCTATTCATGTCTCCTGTACTTGAGATTTGTTGGGCTTTGGGGATTTACACATTTATAGTTTTTTTTAAACTTTAGAACATTTTAGTCATTGTCTCTTTGTACATGGTGAATCCTTCTTCTTATTTGCTTTCTTTGCAAAACCCAGTCACATGTGTAGTGCATCCTTCCAAGTTGTCCAATAAATCGCTGCTATTCTTTCATTATTTCTTATTTTCTGTCCACAGAGTTCATAGTGCCTTCAATTCAATCTTTTCTTATTCTTTCCCTCAGTAATACTTAATTTTCTATTGACTCAATCCAATGTATTTTTCTTCTCAGACAGGAGTTTTCAGAAGTGTGATTTGGATTTCCTTAAAACTTCTGTTCTCACAGCATCATTGGCATTTAGCAAAAAGCTATAGTTTAATAGTCATTCTCCACTAATTATAACATTTGTTTATTTAACTTTGACATAGATTTCTTTTACTTCTACTAACATTTCTAACTGAACAAAATACAGGTTTCACTGTGACATTTTACTCCAAGCCTATGAGGTGCTTTGATCACACATACGCTCCTATCATCCTTCCTTACACCACCTCCTTCCCGTCCTGTTCCCTTTCTTCTTCCCGAACAGTCCTCCCACTTCCATCCATTTCTATTAAACCTAGATCCTCATGAGGAAAAATAAGTGACATTTATCTTTAGGACTTGAGTTATTTAACTTAAGATGATTACCAGTTCCATCATTTTCCCTCAAATGACATGATTTAATTCTTCTTTAAGACTGAATAATACTCCACTGTGAATATATGCTATCTGTTATTTACCCATTCATTCATTGATGGGCACCTGGGCTGAGCCATAGCTTAGGGATTATGGATAGTGTGTAGTAAGTGTGGCTGTGCAGGTATCTCAGTGGTAGGCTGACTTCAATTCCTTTGGTGTATAGCCAGGAGTGACAGCTAGATTGTATGGCTGTTCAACATTTAGTTTTCTGAGGAACCTCTATACTGATTTCCATTGGTCTAATTTAACTTACATTCTCATTAAGAGCATATGTGTTCTTTTATCTTTGACTGATTTTTATTGATCATTTTCATACATACTATGGGTCATGACTTTCAGCTTCTTTGCATGCATCATGAATTTTTAACAGACTCCAGGCATTATAAATTTGCCTTTTTTAGTGATAGATAGATTTACATTACTACAAATATTCTTAACATTTTGGTGGCAAGGTATTCAGGTATTTTGTGTAGAGTCTTTAGCATCTTGTTTTTTAGCTTTGCTGCACTGAATTAGAGCAAGCCTAAGTGTAGGGCTAAGATTCCCTCACTCGTGTGTGAGTGCTTCTCGCTCTTCTACTCAGATAGTAGAAACATGAGGTTTTTCTGCTCCTGCTTGTAAGAAGAGACATTTTTGTAGGTCTGCCTGGAAAGATGTCATGTGCTGTGCTTTCCCCTCTGTTCATTAAAGTTGCTCATATAATTAACCTACACACATGGCTTGATCAGCACTCAGGTGAATACTAAAGGGAGATGCTCTGTGTCACTCAGAAGTTTTCTCTGTGAAGTCTCTCCAGTGTTCTAACCTAGGAACTCATCTACCCAAATGGGCAGCTCTGTCTCATCAGCCTAAGGACTCTTCTGGGCTCTGCATTGGTTCCTTCTGTATTCTACAGAGAAAGGGAAATTTTACAAAGGGAAATTTTAGACCTTGATTAATTTGTTTATATTCTCTCAGGAGTCATGATCCTACAGTGCCGAATATTCAGTGTCTTAAAAACCAGGGTCTCACATATTTTGCTCATTAGTAGATTAAATCAGACTTGACAGTTCATTTGGTAACTTCATCTTGTCCAGAGGCAACATCTCAAGGAAACCACTGTCACCTCTTTATAAATGGTTTTCTTCCAAATTTTATCTTAAATTTTATGATGGTCCTTTATTGCTTAAATATTTTTGTAATTCCAAATTGCCACAAGATAGTACCCAAATATGTCTTTAGAAAGCAGCCAAATCTGTGAAGTTTTTTTTTCCAGAAAAATTAGAAAAATAAAACAGTTCTTTGAGTTCCTAAAAACAATGAAAAAAAACAAAACAATATTTTGTTTTCATAAAACCATTTTATTGTGAAATACAGCATCAAAACATTTTAGTGCATATAATTACATAGTTGAATAAAATATCACTAAGTAAAAATATATCGAACACCATCAAGGAATATTGCTAGTTCTACAGAAACTGCACATAAGTGCCTTCCAATCCACACAGGTACACGTATGATGCGTTTAACATTGCTTCTTTTTCTTCATACTTGTTATAGCTAGGCAAAGTTCATTACACAGTAAAACATGGTAACTTGGAACCTTACCGAACTGAGAAATCGTTCTTGCAAGTCAAACCCTCCACACTTTACAAGCCTTAATTTTCAAGGCTCTGTACTAGTACTCCCACAAAACTGCTTCACTAAGACATTTTTCAGAGACAGACAGTAGGATGGATTTTCTCTTACAAGGAAGGAGATACCTTTCTAGACCCAACTAAGGCTTTGAGGCCTCTCATTATCCCAATCTCTACCTCTTCAACCACAAATGTAGAAGAGTGCAGAAAAAGGAAAGAAGAGAAATGACTGGAGAGGGACAGGAGATTTAAAATCATCTTGAAATATGCCAAGCCTCAAAAGCCAAAAACTGAAATCTATGCAACCTTGAAAACTGTTTTCTCATACATAAAATACTGAGGGCACTCAGTGATGGAGGAAGTCTACCTCTGTGCCAAGTACTTCAAGTTTGTAACTTAATTCAAACCCCACAAGGTATGGTTATTCTTACTCTGTGAGGGAGGCATTTGGTATTCAAGGAGGTTAGAATTCTTATCTCAGCCAAGTTAGCAGCTGACCAGCAAGCTCCAAGGCAGGACTCTCCATCCAGCATTCTGTGGCTTGCAAACACATTCCCTTCATGGGTCATAGTAAATGCTGCTTACCTCACTGGTTGAGGCAATATACATATGTATGCACCAATTATTCCTTCTCAATAAATGTTAGCTGGTTGAATGAAAGAAGATTATTGTCAGTCATTAAGGGAAAATTCATACTGTATTAAATTTGTCAACAGTCTAGACACTGGTATGATTTAAGTGTGTTTTAAAAGTATAACTATGGCCAAGTGTGGTGGTGCATGCCTTTAATCCCAGCACTTGGGAGGCAGAGGCAGGTGAATCTCTGTGAGCTCAAGGCCAGCCTGGCCTACCTAGTGAGTTCCAGGACAGCTGGGGCAACAGGGAGAGCCTGCATCAAAAAAAATTTTTTTTAAAGTATAATTATAGACTATAGTGGAGAGATGGAAAGTGGTTGCATAAAATTCGTATATTAAAAAAAATACTATATTATTAAACTCTTGTATTAGTTTAATAGAGACCCATTCATCAAAGACCTTAGGTACAAGATCTAGAAATTTTGGGTTTTTTCCTGTTTTGAGCTGCCGCAAAGTAATTTTGAGCATAGTAGCAACAGTACCAGACTAAAGTATTTAAAAGACCACTCTTCAGAAAATATACTTTGAATAGAAAGAAAGGTCACCCAAGAAAGCCTATGGTATACTATAGTTAAAAAAAAAAAAAACTTAAAAAATTCTTGTTGTCTTAACACAAATAATATTTCTTCACCTGTCTTGAGTTTGGGGTTGGGAAGAGGATCCTATTCCAATTGATCTTCATTCATGGTTCCTACTGACAAAGCTTTTAAAGGTGACCATTTTCAAGGGTATTGTTGACTTCAACACTCCCTACATTGACTTCCACCAAAATGCCACATCTGTCACGTCTCATGTTGTCACAGAGGCAAGTGGTATAGTGTCATCATGAGCCAGAAGGAGAACTGTAAGTATTGATGCAGAGTGTAAACGTCCATCATTAGTGTCTTGAAAGGATAGAGAGGAGAAAGATCAGTGCAGCAATTGCCGAGATTCAACATGGGAGCCAGGACTTCATTCATGGTGTGACCGAGGAGAGGGAAAGAATGATAGAGACCAAAGAGACCTTAATCCAAGCAATAGGCCATAAGATTGGAAAATTTCTTGGACAGAGATGGAGAAATGAAAAAGGAAAGCATGACACAAGAAGATTATGTAGCCAACTGCAGTCTTGATAAAGCTTCCATTTGCATCCAAGCAGACTGTTTCTAACTAGCTTTATAATGTGTTTATACAAAGTACCCAGCCATTAGAAGAGAAAGAAGCACTTTATCCAGAAATTTATTTATCAGTTCCTTTCTTCAATACGAAAAGAATCCCTTTAATCAGCCATTGTCAATTTTTTTTCTATTTAAAATATATTGAGAAGACTATTTAGGAAACTACTCCAGAAATTAAATCTGAGGAACTAATTCTAAATCTCCTCTCAGAAGTAAAACCAATAATTTCCTTTTCTTTTACCCTTTCAACAAATCTTCATTATTATCATGGCTTGAGAATAGCAGTAGAGTTTGAGGGAATGAAATAACAGGATTTGAGTAAATTTATAACCTAGAATTGATTTTTGGGACTATATTTTTAAGCAAGGACCACAGAATTAGTCCCTGAAGTAATATATTATTTAAGACGGAGGGAACAGTTTTTGTGGTAAACATATTTAAAAATCTAAGTGTAAATACTAATTCAGTAATAAGATTCCCTTAAATTTTTTTATGCCAAATAGTACAGATTTCTCTGGCAAGCATGTAGGAAGGTCAGTGGCGCCGCTACTAAGATTCCAGACTGGATGAACACTGACTCAGCATTCCGTACCCTGATCCCAGTTCTGTTTTACCACCATGAAGAGATTGTGAAACAAAGGAAATTCTCTCCCATTTGATTTGATGCTATATGGATTTGGTGGCATTTGTTTATTTCTCTGTTGAAAATTGCATCATAATCATGAAAAGAGCAAAGCAGAATGTTAAGAAAATGAAGATAACAACCAGGTCTAATTTTTGCTGAAGCATTGCAGAAATCCTCTGCAGCAGAGTAGTGATTTAAAGTCACAACTATGCAGGTGATTGAGGTGGGGAGGCTTTCTCACAAAAGGAGGAGAAAGATTTGCTGAATCATAGAGACCAAGAAGGTGTGGGTTGCTGAGACCTTGAAGACAGGAGGATGCAGGTAAGCCGGAAGCAAAGCTTGTACATCACACTGGCTAAGTGCTCTAGGGCTTAGGTTTGGATAGTGCAGGTAAGACTTCACCATTGAAGCCTTAAGAAGATTGTTACTGAGCTTGTCTCTCCAGTAAATACTAAAATACACAGGTGCTCTTAAGGAGATGAACACTCCTGTGAGATTTGTTTATATAAAGGTAGCCTGGCCAATGCATGTATTTTGTAATGGTAAGCCAGGACAGAGAGGAGGAAGGGATATCCATATTTTAAAATAAGCAGTAATAGATAACAAGCGAGAGGGTTTGGAAGGTTTTGCATCTGAATGTCTAAGACTAGGAGAGTTCATGGACAATGAGGTAGATACAACTAGTGCAAGATATAGGGGAGATATTAGACACAGGAAGAAGTTGGGGTGGTTTTTAAAATTCCTATCAGATCCCCAGGTAATCTTCAAAAGATCACAATCATTTTCTCACCAACAATGTGGAAAGTAGATGTGACTTACAAACATATTTAGTTGCTATATGTATGAGAGTTAAAGCTGTCTGGGCTATATTATACATGTAGCAACCTGAATGAGATGGAGTTGTGTTTTTTTTTTCTTGCCTTTGAATTGGTAAGACCCAAATCTTAGTACAAAAAATTATCATGTTCTTGGAGAAATCAAGCTGGTACTGACCTCAAGGCTTCATCTCTACTGGCCAACTTTATTGTTGCTGGAAGGTGCTATGCAGACTGCAGAAAGAGAAAAATGATCATCAGTCTCACCCAGCTGTGAGTACAGTGAACTACAGTAATAACTGACTAAGCAAGATCTGTTCACTGGAGCAATAATAGCATGCATGCTGTGAAAGCAACCTACAACTTTCTGATTGGATTTAAGGCCCACTTCTAAGATGGAGTCCATAGTGGACACTGTTATCAGGGTCAAAAATCTGTGGCTACACAAGTCACAGGCCATAGAGGAGATCCTACCACTAGTATTCTGCTGAATGGACATTGTATTAAGTCAACACCTAATGACTTATACCCATAGATTAGTGTATCTTGCAACTCTTATCAAAAAAGAGTTGCAATGCATGGTGATTAACAGAAATGCATAATCGGTCAATGTGCAGAGAATAAGAAACTAGGGAGTGCTCAGCCTTAAATGGGTTATCTGGATCACATCCCTCAGGTTCAGGGAGAATTGCAGAAGTGGAGAAGGGTGGAAAGATTGTAGGAGCCAGAAGAGGTAGAAGGCTATATTGAAATAATGTTTTCCCTGACACAACAGGGCATTTGCACATATGGGCCCACAGCAGGTATGACAGTATGCACAAGACTTGTACAAGCCCAAGCGATACAAAATCTCAGCATGGAGGCAGTGGTGGGCACAAAGTCCCTTCCCCGGCTGAGGAACTATTGACAATTGGTAGCTGCTGGGAGAGAGCCAGTCGGTTTTCTTCAACGTGGCAACAACTTGGGTTGGTTGACCACATGCTAGTGGATTAATTCATATCAAGAGTATTTGGGGAATACAAATTGGACTCAATGATCTTGAACAAAGAAATGGAAGACCATAAGTTGGGGCGGGGTGAATATGGTCAAAATGTATTGTATGAAATTCTCTAAGATTCAGTAAAAATATTTTTTTAATTATCATGTTCTAAACAAACTAATGAGAACTATAATTAGAGTATCTTCTCCAGGGGTTAACTGGTACTCAATCTACCATACTATTAATAATTTCCAAAAGCCCCATTCTTTGATTCAGAAGAACTGAGACAGAAGATTGGAATGAAATTGTTGGAGTTGAAAGGAAGGATTGTTGTTTTGAGAGAGAGAGAGAGAGAGAGAGAGAGAGAGAGAGGAAAAAGGAGGACAATAGACAAGAAGAGAAGAAAAAATAAATTATTCATTAGTTTAAAAGATTGACTTACTGATTTTCATTTAAACAAGGAGAAAAGTGAGTGTGGAAAAAAGAGAGAACAGAAAGTGGGGCAGGAGTGAAAGGTCTAAACCCTCCCAGTGAAGAACAAGAAGGAGGTGGTTTAAGGCGAGCCAATAGAAGACAACCTTTCATACAGCATCTTGCCACTTCCAAGCCTAAAACTGTCATCTACTTAAGCCAGGTGGGAATGGTTTGGAGTGCCCTGTAAGAGACAGACTCTGAGAAGCAGAGAACCATGGATAGACCCACTCACCACACATAAAGCACCTCAAAGAACTCATACATGTTTCCTAAAAGAGAATCTTCATCAACCATCAGCCTTACCCAAGGAATCATTGAAACTACAAAGGACCAGCAATATAGCTCCATTCTAGGTGTGTGTCTCTCTCCATCTTCTCAGACAACCTACACTGACACATCAGAATTATCTGAGTTGCTTATATCAAGGCTTACTGTGGGTGTTGTAAATTCTATAGATTTAAACAAAAGCATGACGCGTGAATCACAGTGGCATATGTTAAGCACATTTACTTGTCCTAAAAATGCTTTGCGCTCTACTGACATACTCTGTCTTTTCTGATTTCTCACCCCTTGTCAGCCATACATTTTTATCTTTATTTTAAGTGTGTGAATGTATTGCCTGCATGTGTGCAAATGCACCCATGTCATGCAATGCCCTTGGAGGTCAGAAGAGGGTATTGGATCCCCTGGAACTGGTGTTACGGACGTTGTTAACCACCATGTAGGTTTTGGTCCTCTGCAAGAGCAACCAGTGCTCTTAACCACTGAGAAGTTTCTCCAGCTCCTGTTTTATTAATATATATATATAAATATACATATATATATATATACAGAAAGAGAGATTTTCATGCATGCATGAGTATTGTATTTGTGTCATTTCCCCCTTCCCCCCCTCCACACCTTCTCAGTTTCTTGGCCTCATCTTTGATTATTACTATAACATATACATACATTTATAATTATATGACATGCACTGAGTTCATTCAGTAGTGCTCATGTATACATGTGTTTAGGGCTGATCATTTATGATATAATAATCTGCCAGGGAGCTAGTCCCTGGAAAAAAACTGATCCTTCCTCCCCCAACATCCATTTTGTTGCCTGCAGCTCTTCATCTAGAGGTGGGATTTTTAAATTTTATTTTTTTATACTGTTTCTTAGTTTTTGCTTTTTCTATATTATCACCTTTTTATATTTTAATTTGTTTTTAATTATGTGTATGTGTGTATCTGTCTGGGAGAGTGCATGTCAGAGCTAGAGTTACACATGTTTTTGAGCAACCCAACATGGACAAGGGTGTTAATTGAACTCAGATCCTCAAAGAGCATTGCATGTTCTTGACCACCAAGGCATTCCTCCAGCCTGTTCAGACCAGCTTCTCTCACTTACTGATATGTATTTAAGCTTCATCCATGTCTAGTCATGGTTTTGTAGCACATTGCTTTTTAATTAATACTCCACTCTCTAAGTACACAACAGTTTATTTATCCATTTGCCTACTTAAGGGCATCTTAGTCATTTCCAAGTTTTGACACTATGTATAAAGGTGCACTGAACAGTTGTGCAGGTTTTTGTGTGGATGTTTTAAGTCTATAGGTAAACGCCAAGAAGTATAGTTGTTCAATAATATAGTGAGCTTATAGTTATCTTTGTATGAAATAAAAAATGACTTGCACTCCCACCAAAATAAACAAAAGCTCCTATTAATTTCACATTTTTACCATTACTTGACATTCCTGGTATTCCAGATTTCAGCCATTTGAATAAGGATGTTATTTCACATGTTATTTTGAAAAAGGCATCTCACAATTGCTTCATATTGTATAATTTATCCCAATAGCACATGTTGTAGAGCATATTTTTGCATGTTTGTTTGAAACCTATCCATTTTACTTGGTGGAGTTTGTTAAGGTCTTTGGCCCATTTTAAAATTGAGGTTTTTTTTTTTTTTTTGTAAGTTAATGAGTTCTCTGTATATTTTAGATAATGTTTCCTTTATCCCTTTATTCCTTTTGCAAATATTTTCTCACAGTCTGTATCTTCTCATTCTCTTGAAATTATTTTCACATCCCACAGGTTTTAATTTTAATTAAGTGTGGCTTATCAATTATTTATCTCATGGATTAAACATTTGTCACTGCATTAAAAAGTTACTGTCACACCAATACCATTCAATCCTTCACCTATGCTATCTTCTAAGAATCTTGTGGTTGTGTTTAAATTGGGGTGTATGATCTATTTTGAGTTTATTTTTGTGAAAGGTATGAAGTCTCTGTATAAATTAATTTTTAATGTGAACATGCAGTTGTTTTAATACCATTTTTTGAAAGGATGTCTTTGCTTTATCATACTACTGTTGCTCCTTTATCATAAAGAAGTTGGCAATATTTATGAGGACTTTTTCTCAGCTCTCTAGTCTGTTCTATTGATCTATTTGATGTTTTTATTAACATCACACTATCTTGATGACTATAGCTTTGTGTTATATCTTGAAGTCAGGTCATATCGGTCTTCCAATTTTGTTCTTCTTCAATATCGTATTGGTTTTTCTGGGTCATTTGTCTCTACATACAGGCTTTAGAATTAGTTTCAATTTTCACAAAATAACATGTTGGGATTTTAATTAGGACAGGATTGACTCTTGAAGTCAAGTTGGAAATAACCTATATTTGAATATTTAGTTTCCTAGGTATGTGCAGAGGACATACCTGCATTGCCATTTTAAAACTCTTTCATGAGAATCGTGTTGTTTTTCTCATATAGATATTGTAAATGTTTTTCTGAAATATATTTAAATATTTCATTTTTTAAAATCTTATTTATTATTTTTATTTTATATGTATGCATGTATTGCCTGAATGTAGGAAAGTGCACCCGTGTTGTGCAATGCCCATGGAGGTCAGAAGAGGCTGTCGGATCCCCTGGGACTGGAGTTACAGACAGTTGTTAGCTGCCATATGGGTGCTGGGATTCGAACCTGGGTCTTCTGCAAGAACAAACAGTATTCTTAATCACTGAGCCATCTTTCCAGCCCCTTAAGTATTTCATTTTTA